GTCCTTATTGTAGGAAAAATAATCACACACCCAACAAGTGTTGGTGGAGACCTGATGTGAAATGTCACAAATGTGGTCAATTGGGACATATAGAAAAGATATGTAAATCACAACCAGAGGAAGTCGTTCAAATTATAGAGGATAGAGAAGAAGAGGTACTTCTCCTTGCATCAACATGCTCTACAATCAAAAAATCCACAGATTGGCTAATAGACAGTGGTTGTACAAACCACATGACTCATGATCGAAAATTTTTCAAAGAGCTCAACAAATCACATATTTCTAAAGTGAGAATTGGTAATGGAGAAGAAATGAATGTGAAAGGTACAGGAAAAATTGCACTTAAAAGTCATTCGAGTATCAAATTGATTATTGATGTTTTATATGTTCCTGATATAAATCATAATTTGTTAAGTGTTGCTCAATTATTGGAGAAAAGTTATAAGGTGTCTTTTGAACACAAACTTTGTGTGATTAAAGATACAAATAACTTAGAAATATTCAAAGTTCACATGAAAGGAAAAAGTTTCACTTTAGATTTGATGAAAGAAGAGAGGATTACAAATGAAGATATAAAAGAAAAGTCAAAGAAAAAGCATGAAGAAGATTTCTTGAAGGAATTTGATGTTAAGGAGGAAAATAAAGATGTAGATGAAGAAACCATTTTCAACGTGCATCAAAGTACTACCATGAATTTTGAAAGAAACAAAGGAGATGAAGTTGATAAAGGAAGAAATATGTTGATGAAGAAAGTGAAGAATGAAGATGTGATCTCATACAAGAAAGAAAATAACAAGAAGTATAAACAAAAAAGGAGGAAAAAATATATCAAATTCAAATAAATAGATATTAAAGTAAGGAGGAATGTTGAAAATATTACTTTATTATCTTTTATTTAAATTAGGTATTAAGAGATTTTATTATCTTTTAAGAGAGAAAGTAAAAAGACATTAGGTTATTATTCGATTTAGGTCGTTATGATTAAGATATTATGAATATTTAATATTTTGTAATATTTTTACTCTATATATACATAGAGTACATGAATAGAAACACACACATGATATATCAGAAATACATATACACATAACCCTTCAAAAACCCAACAGGGTATGGGTACTTCCGTGAAAATTTTAAATTCTCTTTTGAATTTTATTCCAGTAAGATGGATCTGAAACTTATGAACCATGGAATAAATATGCATTCCTACCAATATATCTTTGTTTGGAAGCTTACTTCTAATTACTTTTAAGCAGACTATGCATTTCAGGAAGAATTTGATCCCAATTGGGGATTTTGTGAAGAGATCAGTTTTGAAAATTTTTAAGTTAGCTGCAACAAAATAAGAAATTTCTTTTTTTCAAAATTCCTTTGAAAGTATGTCTGGATCCATCATGAATTTTTGGGCTCCTGTGTCAAATAAGCTATGACTTATGGATTTCTCATACTTAGAAGGAAGAAGCTGGACTTCTAGGCATGGTTGAGGAGGAGAAACATTAATAGGATTGATCTCATGGAAAGAGAAAACTGGAATAGTATCTGTTTCTAATTCTGCGTCTGAATAATTAGATTTTGTTTCATCAGAGGATATAGTGAGGGCAAAAACTGTTTATTCATCTGCAGAGCTTTGTTTTAAGTGTATGGACTATATATCTTCATTATCACCAAAATCGAGAGTGGAGATTAGTTTTATCACTCTTTCGACTTTGTGGGGACAATTATTGGAGAAATGACCTTTTTTCTTACAGATAAAACATCTTTGATCTCGAAATTTTCCTCTGATCTTCTTCTTCTTCTTGAAGAATTTGAAATTCTTCTTTTTCTTGCGAATAGGTTGTTTCTCCCATCTTTTCTTTTTGCAATTTCCTGAACATGATTTTTTACACTTGATTTCAAGATAAGGCTTCTAATAGACCATGTTGAATTTACTTTTCTAGGTCATGATGCCAGAAAATAATTCATGTTGTCTGTAGAGTTTATGAACGGCCTCTAGGATCATCTGATGAATTTGACCCATAGTCAAGGTGGTGAAGTCTTTTTGGATAGTCATTGTCATCCTGTTCAATTCTGGTTGGATTTCAGCAGGAAGATATGCTACATAAGTATTTTTCAGGCTGGGATCATTGAGTCCATTGATATGGTAGAATCTCTTGCTCATTCTTTGATTGTGCTTCTCCAAATCCTTAATATTCACCTAGCAACATCTCATGTCGAAAAATTCTTGCTTGAGTTTTTTTATCAATTATAGGGTTATCTTCTATGAATTCTTCATGTAATGCTCCCATTATTGTTGAAGTTTGTCCCAATTCATGAAATTGATTTTGTCTAACAACTCCCAAGTTATGGTACCATTCCTTAAGGGTTCTAGTCATTCTGCAGCAAAACTCTTCAATGACGTTGTAAGAATCAAATTCTTTAACCATTTTAGTATCTAACCAAGCTCCAAATTCAATTAACCTATCTCTTTACTGACTTGGAAGGATATCGTCAATAGTAAACCAAGGTCCTCGATTAGGCTTTGAAGAGGTATTTGTCTTTATTGGACCAGAGTTAACTTCTTTATCAGGAGAATCATAAATAGATTCATGTCTGACTTCTGATTTGAAGGTGTTGGTCATCAGAATTTGGGTTAAATCTGCATAACTGGTAACTTCTGTTTTTGAATTTTTACCCTTCAATAATTGTAGGAGTATTTTTAGGAGTTGAATAAGGACACAATTCTATAGTCATTTGAGAATATTGATATTGAGAATTTTGGAAAACAGGATTAAATTGATCTTGATGAGTTTGTCTTTTTGGTGTAGAATTGAACTTCGTGAGAAGATTCTTGAGAAGGTAGACTGACTTTTTTTTTCTTTGCCTTTGTCTGGCTTTGATGTTCTTGGTTTCGACCATGGTTTATAAGCAATAGTTGTAGGTAAAAACCAGGAAGACTGTGTTGGTGGTTGGAAGAATGGAGACGGGTTCTAAAAAGAGAAGTATGTAGGAGTTAAAGTAAACAGAGATGGATAAAGATATTTCTCTATCCTTTGTTGTTTGACTTTTACTTCAATGTAATTGTCCATCTCTTGGATTTGATCCTTAAACCTTCTGATCTTCTTCTCTTTTACGTGAGATAATTCTTTAAAGATGATGTTTTTCCAATCTTCCTCTAATATTGAAAGTTATGAGGAAAGTTTTTTATAATACTTTCACAAAATTGAGTTGAGATATTGTAGCTTTTGATCAGTTTCTTCAAGATGTGTTGAGATTTTATCCATCAATTTCTTATAAGATGGAGTTTTGAGTTCTGATATTTTCTGTTTGAGAGTTTAATACTTTCTTAGTTTGACTTAGTGGTTTTATTTTTCCATCTAATTTGACTTCTTGACACACCACATGTAGTTTAATTGTTGTTTTAAATACATGATCAACATTTCTTTCAAGAGGAGGAAATTTCTTGTTATAGGATATTGAATTAATCAATCATGTATGGAATAGGAGGAACAATAGGAAGTGACATGATAAAAGTTCTGCACTTATCTTGTCTGAGAAGAAAAAAACCTTCTTTTTCAAGGATCTTAGCATATAATTCATATTTTCACAAATGGTCTAAATTTTTCTTGGTAATAAAATCCAAAAACGTTTTCCAGATTCAAACCTTCTCTTCGGAGGAAAACTACGTGTGATTTTTTTTTTTTTTATATGGTAATGTTTTTCTAAGTAATTAAAATATTCGTACTCCTTATTCATAATATTTATTTTATATTCGAATCTGATCCCATCCATTAAGAATTTTTTAATCATCCCTAAAATGAGGAGCAATATAAACTTTTTATCTAATTGTGATATACTTTGTTCAGTACAACAATCATAACTTGAATTATAGATATTATTTTTTCAGTTAAACCCGTATCATGAATGATTTAACATGGACTACAATTTTTTATAAAGACTAATTTCCTACTTAAAAATAATATACTCTATCACATCTATTACACCTCAATGATCTAAGTCATATTTTTTGGACAAATCTGCAACATAATTTCTCTTTATAAACTTCCTACGTTTTACGTGATTTCTAATATAATTTCTATATTTATTAAGTGATCTCTTACAACTTTTTAAAATTATCATTAAAAATATTTAGTTTTATTTTCAGTTGATAATATTTTTCTATTATATTTGTTGTCAGATTTTTTTAAATAATCAATTGAAACAATCAATACTTTTACTTTATTTATTATCTATTTTTCTGCTAATATATTATTTCTTTTTTATTCATTTTATTTTCTTTTTCTTTAATAAGGACATCATTATCTAGTGTTTTGAAAATTAGACTATAATAATCGGTTCAACCAATCTGATAGGCAATTGACTTAGAATTTGATCTATTTTAAAAAAAATTAATTAAATCAATATAAAACTTGTACAAATTTAGTAAAATAAAAAAATATTCAGTTTTTAGGTTCAACCATCTCAATAAAGATAATATTTTTAAAAGATAATTATCTTTAAAAAAATTAATATTTTTTATCTACTATATATACTTTAAATAATAAGTATTTTACTATATATTCATCTTATTTTTATTATTATCAAGTTTTTACTCTTTAATATATTTTATATTTATAATTTTTATTATAGTTTATTAGATAATAGCTTTTATTATTAATGTAATTATTTTTATTTTTTTTATAAAAACTATTGTTATTAATAAATTTATTATATATTTATTATATTAAAAAATATTTTTTTATTAATTTCTATGGAACCTTTAAATTATATACTCATATTTTCACCTATTGATTAACTCGTCAAACATCAAATTAATTGAGTTAATTTAGCTCATCACAAATTCTAAATGCACTATACCAATAATTTTGCACTGTTAATTTTAATAACTATTAGTAAATCAAAAGTTCTGAATCGATAACTAATTCCAACCAATGATTTAGAAAGATTATTTACCTTTGGTCGAAAAAGATGTTTGCGAGCCTCTGATATCTTGGTTACTGCATTTAAAGCCCCGCATGAGACAAATTGTTTTCTTTGACTTCTACACTAACTTTCTCATCTTTGTCTTCTTCTGAGAGTAACCAATTGTAAGGAAGCTGGAATTTAGGACCAGAGTTGGTGTTGCTCTTTTCCACAGAACCAAAGTAAGGACGGTGTACATCGGTTTGGAGTGGAAAAGGATTTCCTAGTTTCATCATTTCAAAGGCAGGTACGTCTTGCCTGAATATACTCCTCATTCCCCATGCATAGATCTTCACACATGGCTCGGCTTTAAATGTGATATGTGCTCCTGTTTTCACAAAATGACAGTGTTCTCGAGATATATAAATGATCCAAATATGCTTCTTTGATTCATTAGTCTGGTTCACATTCAAACTAAGTGGCATATCAAAGTATTCTTCTGTATATTCACTTTCAAAAGAAAGATAAAACGGATGTGACTGCGAGGAAGAACTAGCAACCCCAGGATCATTGTTTAGCTCAAATATAACACAAAAGGCAAAGCCAAACCAGTCTTCGGTCACGTTAAATTTTACTATCCTTTTAATGGAGTCCCCTTCAAATGTGTCACTGAACCACCGTGGAATTTTCAAACCCCAAGGAATAACAATGTCAAAGCCACATCGAAAATGATAGGGTTCCTGATGTCACCACAAGGAAAATCACGAAAAAGAAAATTTATAATTAATTGTATGACGATAAATGGTAGTTAATGAAAGGTAAACCAAATTTACTAATAATCTCCACAGGAAGTCCTGATGATAAATTAGGAAAGAGAAAAGAGAAGGTTGCAGAACGTGAACCTGAATTAGTCTGAAAAACCAGACAAGCTCCAAACTCCAAATCCCAGGTTTGAACGATGTGTGAACCTTCATGGGACAATAAAAAAGATATAAGCCTGACCTATGATCACGAGATCCAGATACTGTTTTAAAATACTTCCCCCCTGATGTGGCTCCTCCCATTGGAAGGTGAGGAAGAGCTCGAAGCAAACTAGAATGAGACAAATTTAAATATGCTAGACAATGAAGCTTCCTGATTGAGCCAGGTATTGAAGTCAAATTGTTTCCCTGTAAATTCAGTCTTTCCAAGCACCTTAACTCTCCAATGGCACCAGGTAATGCATATAGATTGCAAGAGCCTAGGTCCAAAAAAATCAAAGATTTTAAATCGGATGATAAGGGCAGATCACGAGCAGCCCCTCTCCGAATCCAAAGTTCCCGTGAATTTAAATTGGGATCAAGTTTCGGATTGAGTTTCGAACAACCGCATAAATCTAGAGTTTGAAGAGATGCTAAAGAATTAATTTCAGCTGGTATACTGTCAAGCTCTGTGCAGCCTCTTAAACTGAAGAATGTAAGATTTGAAAGGACTCGAATAGATTCATGAATAGAAGATAAACTTGTACATTCATCCATGTCAAGGTACTCAAGATTTGGCGTCCTTGTAAAATCTGGGGTGCTTTCAAGTTTATTACATCCCGAGAGATGTAGAACTTTCAGAGAACGCATGTCGGTCACGCAATGAAAGGTGATCATAACAAGACTGCAACAATATCGCAAATTCAAGAAAGCTAGATTTTTTAGAAATCCCATTGATGAATGAACTTGTAATAAATTTGTACATCCAGAAAGATCTAGCCTTTCAAGATTTACGATTCCAGAAAAGTCCGGAGTTTCAGTTAGGAAGATGGAATTGCTTAAATCTATCCTTTTCAAATAGGGACAACTCTGTGAGAAGAGAATAAACAGTCAAATACATTGTCACTTATTTTAAGAAGTTAATAATAGCTTTTTCCATGATTTTTTTAAATACAGATAAAAATGAAAAGAATCAGATTATAATACCTTGCGACCTTCCCATAAACGTTTTATGCGACTATTAGGCATATTCAATTCCACAAGATTTGAGGCTGTAAAATATGGTGGCAGAGAAGCAAAAGGATAATCATGCCACAATAGATATTTCAGCCTGTCAGAAAGATAATGGAGGCTTCCTGAAAAGTTGTTGTGATATAATATGAGTAATGTAAGCTTCTTCATTTTTGACAATCCATCAACACTACATTCGGAGATATCTTCTTTTTTATCTAGAACTATGGCTTTCACATGCTCTGTTCCCTGAAACTCAAATAAACAAACATCTGTAAAAAAAAAGATTCTTGAACGAATGAGCATTACTCTTTTTCTAAAATATAATATCTCTAATTCATATTTACTTAGTAATTAGAATAAGAAACTTTATATATATATATATATATATATATAAATAGTGAAGTTTTAATTGAAATAACTGTACTTGAAGTATATCTTTTCAATCATGTTACTAATGTAAAAAAGTTCATTTTTTCAAATTAATTTACGTATTTTATATTTATAAAGATTAAATTCAAGACTTTGCATGAAAATCAAAGCTGACTAAAATATGTATTTTCTCACTTTTATCTAACTATGTTGCTAGATATTAAAAATAGAATCAGAATTTGAAAATGTAACTTGTTACCGTTTCTGTCGTCAAAACGTGAAAGAAGTCTTTATGAAGCCATATTCTACTTCGTGATCCTGGTTCTTCGGGAGATTGGTCGCGAACCATTTTCTTTCCCAATTCTTGTAACATGTCATGTATAAGAATTTCTTGATCTCTAATAGTGATGAGTGATTTCTCAATGAGTCTTTTAATTCCAATTTGAGAGTATAATCCACAACAGTCTAGAATTCGCTTAACATAATCCTCCCTCTCCCCTTTAAAAAAACATGCAATGTGTAAAAATATTTCTTTTTCCTCGTATTGTAGTCCATCAACACTTATTTGAAGTACACCCATAATTTTATTATCTGGACTCTTCTTTAATCTATCCAAGACCTGTTTCCATTCAAAAGCTTCTCGAGTACACAAGAAAGAACCCATTACTCTAATTGCCAATGGAAGACATTGGGCATATTTGAGTACCTCAGGAATCATCTCTGCACAACTACTACTTTGCTCTTCACTTTTGAAGGCTTTTGTACAAAACAATGTACGAGCATCATTATCATTCAATAATGAAACCTTGTGGATTATTACAGGAGCTTTGTACGCTTTTAGAATGTGCTCATCTGTGGTGGTAATAACCATTCTACTTCCTTTGAAAAACAATTCAGGTTTTATCGCCAAATCATCTAAAAGCTCTGAATCAACAACACTGTCAAGAACAACAAGAACCTTCATATTGTGTAGCCTATGTTTTACAATTCCTGAGATTTTAACAGGATCATCTGTATCAAGACGTTCTCCGGGAAAAGTTTGACTAATAATCTGTTTATGTACAGCAGTACGGCCACCATCCCTATGAAGTTTACTCACATTCTCAATGAAACAACTACCATCAAACCTATGAGAGATTTTATCATACAAGGCAGCAGCATGCGTTGTCTTTCCTATTCCACTCATCCCCCATATTCCTAAAACTTGAACATCATCAATGTTTGACCTTAATCTTAATTTATCTTCTAATTCTTGTACACCTGGTTGTATCCCAATAAGGTCATCAACAAACCCAGAGAATTTGTGACCCATTGTTTTTATTACCTCTTCAACAATTTCTACAATTATTTCAAATTCTGGCCTGGAAGAGAAGTAAAAAGATTCACAAAATAAGGTTAACATATTCTCGATAAACGTTGAATGGTAAAAATTAAGATTAATTAAAGACAATAACAGTAACTGAGGCATACTTGTTTCTGACATCCCAACCAGCTGAATTGGCAAAACCGTTCATAGCTCTCTTCCATCTATCAACCTTATCTGGATCTTCTTTGAATTTTTCTGTGTGTAAAACAAAGGAGTTTTCGTATACCCCGTTTTGATATCTCACATCAGATGGATCCACATCATAGAAAACAGGGAAAACAGTTTGGTTGGATTGCTGTTGGAAATCAGCTACAGCGGCCATTTCGTCCAAACACCATGTTGAGGAGGCGTAATTTTGAGAAAAGACGATGATAGAAACCCGAGAATCTTTAATTGCTTGTAGAAGCTGTGATGAAATGGATTCTCCTTTGTGGAGCTTCTGGTCATCTTTAAAGACGAAAATGCCCTTTCGGCTGAGATGAGAGTAGAGATGATCAACAAAAGAGTTGCGGGTGTCAGGACCTCTGAAACTAAGAAACACATCGTATCTATACTTTTGGTTGTGGATGGTGCCGGAGTCACTGGAAGAAGAAGACTCTGATGAGATGAAATTGGTAGAGGATGATCGAACAGCCATCAGGTTCCGAAACAGTCTCTGCACTGATCTGTTTTTCACCACCAATGAATTGTGCAATAAAACTGGTAGTGGCTGTTTCTTCAAGTTCACACCACTGCAAGCGGAAGGAAGAACGTAGACTTATTCCCGACGATAGTCAACTCATAATGATTAGAGATGACGTGCAGTCATTAAACTCCGTTAGTTTTCAAAACTTAATTATGGCAATCTATTATTGATATATACTATTTAATTATTAAAATAAAATATTAACAAAACTATCATAATATAATATATTAAAACTGGTGTTAAAACTTATTATTAATAATAATAATTTCAGTAATAAATAATTGATATTTTTATAATGTATTTAATATGTTTTTTAGTCATTAGATTGGATGATATATTAATAAAATAATTTAATTTTAAAAATTGAAGGAATAAATTTGCAGTTAAAATTTTATAAAATTTAAAATTACACGTTCTAAGAAGTTATTTTAAGAAATTTTGTTTAATTAAGTTTTATGCATAAAAACTATTTTTCCTTGGTTTCATCCTGATTTTTTTTAAATAATATTAAAAGTATAATTATTTATTGATGGACTGATTCTTATATAAGGATGTCAAAGTGAGTCAACTCAGTTCACGGTTCATGGGTTGACTCACCACGAGTTGAGCTAAAAATAAGTGAGCTTAATCTGACTCACTTTTGGCGAGCTCGAAATTTTACAACCCGGCTCAATTCATCACTGGCGATGGCGGATCTTGACCATTGATCTTGGGGACCAAATAATATATTATTAATAAATAATAAATAAATATAAAAGGAAGAAAGAAGATGAAAGGGTAAAAGGATAAAATTGTAGATATATATTTAAATATATTAAATGATCATTAAGTTTGAGGGGGACAAAGTCATAAATTACATGAGAGTTACAAAATTGAGGAGGGACTGAGAGGATAGAATTGTAAATATACAAGTAAATATATTAAATGTTTATTAAGTTTGGGGGAGCCAAAATCATAAATTACATGGGAGTTATAAAATTTTGGGGGCCACGCCCTCAGCTCCCAAGAAGATCCGCCACTGATCACCTGGTTAGTGAGTTAGGTGGGTTGACTCACTAACCCATATTTTTTTAATTTTTTTAATTAGATTGAAAATTCAGATGTAGAAACTTATGCTTTCTTCTTTTCTTTGTCAGTATTAGTATCTTTGTTATTAACTAAAATTGGCTCATTGGGTTTTTCATTAATAATAAAATCATCACCAAAACAATTTACATTGATACTTTAATGTATTGTTTCATATTCCATACTCGTAAATTAATTTAAAAGAAAGAAGTAAAAAATTCATATATTAAAGAGATATACGTATAAATCAATAATAAATAACAAATAATGTATATATGCTACAATTTTAAAATAAAGATTCATCAATCCAATAGTTTAGGTTATGAAACAAATTTTACCTTTGAAAGTCGACATGGTGTAGTGGTGCAAGTGGATGAGATAATAAGACAAGTGACCAAAGTGCAGCGACAAACGTAGTGGGACAGAGAATAACCGATAACAAGTTTAAGTGAGAGTTTGGCTTGTGTCGACAACCAACAATGTAGGATAGATATAAGATAGGATAACATCAATTAGTGTTACTAAAATATTATAATTATTTTTAAAATTAAAAATAAATGATTAATTAGGGTTAGTATATTATTATAATTATTTTTAAAATTTAAAATTAATTTTTAGCTCGGCTCGAATCCGTTTAACCCGTGGGTTAAGTGAACCGGGTTCATTTTTAGCTCATAATCGGTAGAAATAAAAAAAATTTAACCCAACCCGACTCGAACCCGTGGTGAGCTGGGTTGACTCACGGTTAGAACTCATATTGACACCCCTATTCCTATTCAACATTTTTAAAATCAGATAGTCACTGAAATAATAAAACATAAATTCAATATTTAAAAATCTAAATTCAATTATATTTAATAAAATAATATTTTTATAATATAATAAATTCATTAATAAAAAAATAAAGATTAATATTTTAGCTACCTCTATTATGAACATATCGTTATTGACATCGTTCGACTACTTTTTATGCTGGGAGTGTAGTTCTCACTATCTTTCCCAACTTCAACGTTAGTTTGAAGGATCTCACCATCTCCCAAATATTAAAGGTTCAGACCCACCAGGTCTTTGATCTTGACTGAGCATCATCTCATTTCAAAAAATTCTTATTTAAACTTTTTGTCTATTATCAATCTGTCACCTCTGAATTCTTTATGTAAAGCTCCAATTATTGTTGATGTTTGTTCTAGTTCATGGAACTAGTTTTGTCGAACGACTCCCAAATTATGATACCATCCATTGTTCTTGAATTTTAGGATTTTTGAGAATAAAGAATTGTTCATTTATAATAAAAATTATAAATATTAATTATTTTAAATACTGTAAGAGAAATAATTATTAAATAAATAAAAATAAAATAAAAATATTATTATTTAAAATTGACATAATTAATAATATAAAAAATATTAAATATATTATATTTTATATAAAATATTTATATTAAAAAATTTGAACATAATTTTTTTTATCAAAATCTGATTAAAAACTTAATGAATTTTACCGATTTTACTCGAATTAATTAAAATTTGATTATTAAAAAGAATAAACCAATTATCATTATCATTATCATCGTTATTATCATTATTATTATTATTATTATCATTATTATTATTATTATTTATTATTATTATTATTATTATCGTTATTATTATTATTATTTAGTTTTTAGTTTGTATTAATATTTGCTTGAGTTACTCTTTTGATTTATGTGTTTAAGAGGACAGGTATCTTCAGAGCAATTAGAATTTAATCCAGAGATTGAAAAAAACAGCTTGGAGGAACCGGGGTAGAAGAAGAATGGAAACTCAAGAACAAACCACAAGAAAATCTGTTAATTCTTCTTTCACACTTGATTTACCAGACACAATTATAGAAGATATGACAGAAGACGGAGCAAATCTGAATCCAAATCCAAATCCAAATCCAAATGCAAATTCACCTAGAAGAGCTCTTAGAAATTGTACTATGCAGCAAGGTCCAAGACATTTTTCCAGCATTGTCATTCCGGATGATCATACATTGCAAATGAATCCATCTTTCTTAAGCTTGATTAGTGCTCATCAATTCAATGGATTGGATCATGAAGACCCTTATATTCATTTGTCTACTTTTTATGAGTTGATTGGTACCATGGGATTTAGAGTAGCAAATCTTGAATCTGCATATTTGATATTATTTCCTTTTTCTTTGGCAGGTAGGGCAAAGGAATGGCTGAAAGCACATCCTAATCAGAGTCTGACTAATTGGAGTAGTGTAGAAGAGAAGTTTCTGAATAGATTTTTCCCACCATCCCGTTACATCAAAGCAAATTTTGACATCACTTCTTTCAGACAAGGAGCATATGAACAATTTTGTGAAGCATGGGAGAAATTTAAATCACTATTGAGAAGTTGCCTAAATCATGGATTTGATGACGTTTCTCAGTTGAATATTTTCTATACTGGCTTGCGACATGATGCAAAGATGTTATTAGAGGCTGCAGCATGAGGATCTATGTTGGATGTAGAAATTGATCATGCCACCAAAATTATTGATGCACTAGCCTTTATAGACCAACAGGCCCAACATGATAGACATCCAATTCAAAGGAAGGGAGTACTTGAACTTAACAGCTCAGATGCTATCTTAGCCCAGAATAAACTTATAACGCAACAAATTGAAGCATTGAACCAGAAGATAGAGAAATTACCTCAACAAATGCACACAGTACAATCTATTCTTAATTAACAGATGAGTTGTGATGTGTGTGGAGGTGATCATGCAAATGAACAATGTTCTTATCAAGGCAACATTCAGCAAGAAGAAGCTAATTATATGGGGGTCCAAGGTAGTAGTCAAGGCAGACAAGACAATTTTCCTAATCCCAATGATTATCAGAATAATTTTGCACAAGGATGGAGAGGGAATCAAAATCAAAATCAGAATTTTGGGTGGAAACAAGGTGTTAGCTCATCTACTAGACAACATACATTTCAACAACAATCATTTCAGCAACCTCCATATCAACAGCAGCAACAACATTATCCTTCAGTGCCTGACAAAATAAGTAAATTGGAGGATACTTTAGAAAAATTCATGCAAGGTACTATGGCTAATCAGAAAAATACTGAGGCAACTTTAGAAAAATTCATGCAAGGCACTATGGCTAATCAGAAATATACTAAGGCTTCATTCAGAAATATAGAGATCCAGATAGGCCAACTGGCTAAGCAACTATCTGAGCAGCAGCAAGGAGGACAATTTTTAGCTAATATACAAACCAACCCCAGGGAGCAATGCAATTTAATAATTACAAGGAGTGGTAAGGTTATAGGAGAAGGTATTGGTGACAATCTGGCTGTAGAGAAGGAAATCCTACAAGAAAAAGAAGATGAGTGTGAAAGAGAAAAAAAGGAAACTAAAAGAGAGAATATAGAAAAATAAAAAAATACTGAAAAAGAAAAGAAAAATAAAAAGAGTGAGAAAAAGAGGGAGAAAGATGAGAGTCAAATACCGCAATTGAAGGATTTATCATATCCTCGTCATCCTTCCCAGATAGATAAAGAAAGACAATTCACAAGATTCATGGATATTTTCAAACATTTACATATTAATATTCTATTTATGGAAGCTATGGAACAGATGCTGACTTATGAAAAATTCATGAAAGAGTTGTTAACTAAGAAAAAGAGATTTACTGCAGAAATAGTGGAGCTAGAAGCAGGATGCAACACTATAATTCAAAAATCATTACCTCAAAAGTCCAAGGATCCTGGTAGTTTCACTATACCAGTTACAATTGGGACGTTACAAGTAGGTAAGTCATTACTTGATTTGGGTGCTAGTATAAATCTAATGCCTTTGTCTATGCTTAAAAGAATAGGAGACTTGGAAGTAAAGTCTACAAG